CGATTTTAGAATTAGTAGATCTGGTCTTCTCATACCTAGTCTTAACTCATAGAAGGAATTAAAGGAAGAGGAATATCAGGCTTTCCTGTTTTTTCAAATCCCAATTGTTTTTTAAACTTTGAATGAACTATCCATTGAACAGAATTAGTTGAATAAACTAAAATGAAGAAAAATTCTCCCTGCAACTGCTGAAGAGGCTACTGCTCAAAAGCTGGTTTAGCATGTCAATAAACACCAGTTCCAGATGCTTAGCAAGTGACTTCCTCCAGTTCAGTGGTCTGATTTTCTTTAAAACTTGGCAGCAAACATGTACCACTTAATATATTTTGCATTTAATGTAAGTGATTTTAATAACTAATAAATGTACACCTTAACATAACCTGTACATTTCAAATTTAATTTAAATTAAAAAAACTGTTTATATTTTTTTTTTTGCTTAGAATAATCAATTTTCATCCATCCTGAATGTAGCACAGATTATTTCTGAATATTTTGGGGCATTTACCAATATTCTGAGACGGAATGGCGAGTTAGTAGTGTGGTATAAATTTGATGGGAGAAGATACCATTTTTTCCCTTAATACATTGATGTGGGTTTTTTTTAAATAATGTAATAGGAGACTAACATTCCTTGAATATTTTTGTTGTACAGGTGACGCTGATAAGCTCTGATTGTGCTGTCCAATAGCCCTGATTAACAGCCAGAAGATTCAAATTACTATTATATCTACCCCCCATTGTGCAGCCTTCACCAGTAAATGCCCTCAAAGCATGAAAAAACCCGTGTGCCCTAAATACAAAGTGAATTTAAATAAATATACCTAAAGCAAATGAATGCTAAGCAAGATATTGAGCAATCTCTTATTTCTCTGAGCTAATAATATGCATCATCACTAAAGCCCTACACAAGCTAGTACAGTATATCATATATAGATATATAATATCTATCTATCTGTATGTATATATATACACACACACACACACTAGCACATACACCAAATGTGTACAAAATTCTTCCTTTCAAGCCATATAGCATATAACTGGTTAAATATCACTCTTAAAAATTTCCTGAATCTTATATCTTAAACACTGCATGTACTCTATTTGTGCCAGCTTAAATACATGTTCACTCAAGAGACACAAGTTGCCTAAAGCCAGGAAATTTGAAAGGAGGCTCAAGCTGACATTTTGTCCTTAACTCATACCAGGGCATCTCCCACAAACTATAAGAGTGTAATGTCTTCAGATACAGGAAAGCTAATTAGTTAGTGGGTAGAGCCAGGGACAGAAAGCCAGTTCTGCTGGGTTCCATTCCTGATTCTGCCATTGAATGGCTGTGTGATCTTGGAAAAGTCACAATTTCTATGTGCTTCATCTTGTCCATCTGTAAAATAAAGACTTACCTCTCACATACATAGAGGTGAAAGAAAGCCGGTCCGGTCCGGTCCGGCATACCGGCAAGAGCCAGTGCGCCGTGCTGGACCGACCGGCTTCCCCAGGCTGGTGATTTAAAGGGCCCGAGGCTCCCCACAGCAGCTGGAGCCTAGGGCCCTTTAAATCGCCTCCCGAGTCCCGCTGCCTGAGCCCCGGGGTAGCGGCGACAGGGCTCCGTCGGCAATTTAAAGGGCCCGGAGCTCCGCTGTGGTAGCGGTGGCCAGAGCCCTGGGCCCTTTCAATCGCCCCTGAGCCCCAGGGCTCCCAGCCACCTCTGCAGCTGGTAGCTCCGGGGGTGATTTAAAGGCCCTGGGGATCCCAGCCGCAGCCAGAGCCCCGGGGCCTTTAAATCAAGATTTAAAAATCTTGATTTAAAGGCCCTGCCTCTTCCGGTTGAGGCCATGCCTCTTCTGGTTGAGGCCACGCCCCTGCTCAGGACTCCGGCGTACTGGTAAGTCCTTTAACTTACTTTCACCCCTGTAAATACATAGTATGGTTAAAATGCTAAATGTACTTAATTCCCCCCTGTAAACCAGTGGGCAGATACACCAGCTAGGGAAGGTAAAATAAAACCTCCAATTAAGTTCAAACCAAAGCCCTGGTCTCATTGCTGGCTTAATTAACACAAAAGAGCTCCATTCCTGCTAAGATTTACATACATAGTTAACTTTACGTACTGTGCGTAACCCCACTCACTTCAATGACCACATCTTTGCAAAGCCAGGGGATTCAAAGAAAGAGCAAAGCAACTCAGTACACTTGTTCACAGCCAACAGAGGCCTTGCCAACTTTCAACAACCCCTTTCCTGGGGGTTGCCACAACCACAAGCCTTGTGTTTTTACAGCCTCACTCCAGATCAATGTGATAGGCAGGGAAATGGATTCTCCTTGTAACCCCTTCTATGCTGGGGCTCAAGGAGTACCTTAATCCTTGAACTGAAAGTACTGAGTAATGGCAGTGCATCTGTTCAATTGTTTTTAAAACATACAATGCAGGTTCTTTTGTTTGTTGCTCCCTATGATCATGGGGAAGTGTGCCTTTTAGTCTTCTCTTTTCCTAACCCTTCTCCTTCTGTTATCATTATTGCATCCTTGGAAGCTCTGGTGAATCATTCACAAGAATTAATGATAGCTGGGATGGCGCAGTTTTAAAATGGCGACTATGACATAGTAATCTAAGCTGTATGGACAAATGTAGCATGGCTAGAAGTACATTTCTGTGGGTTTCCAGTTGTTGCTAGTGATGTGTTTAACAGTCATTGTGGTGAACTCTGTGAATTGGGAAATAGATTATTACAGAGGTTTTAGCCAGAATGTGCCTGGACCTTGAGCAGGTGTGACTGGAGGAGGGTGCAAGGAACCTTTCCTATCTTTTTGTACCTTCTGTGCAAGGGCCAGATACAGTATCAAGCTCTGCATTTGGTGAGGCCGAAGGACTGCTCCCTCCAATACCCTGATTGGTGCAAATTACTCCTCAGGCCTGAGTTTCTCCTGTAGCAATGGACCTCCAAACTTCTCCGAACGCTGGTCATGGTGTTATTTATACAATCTGGACCTTTGTGTTTAAAGGGTTACAGATTATTTTAAAATGCATGGCCCTATCCTGCAAATTCTGTGGCACATGCTTTACTGTACACATTTGTCCTACTGACTTCATACTTTCATCATACAGAGGGATGGCATATTTCATGTTGGCTTAAAAAAACACCAATATCTGAGTATCATTTCTCTCTCACTAGAAGTAATATGTCATTACTAGCCATCATCTTTTAGAATTTGGAGTAATAGGATGAAATTAAGGAAGAGAAAATGAATCTCCTTAATGTCAAGACAGGCTTCCTGGCAGTGAGATCACTATGAGTCAGAGTCTGCCACCCTTAATCACATTGGATGCTGCAAGTGTCCCCACCCAAATTAGTGGAGTGCGTCACAAATTAAGGTACTATTCAGTGTGAAAATTGCTAATTATTATTTTTGCACTGCCTATAATGTGCTGGGTATTTTACAGAGCAAACACAAAAAGTTAATGGAGATATCCTATCTCCTAGAACTGGAAGGGACCTTGAAGGTCATCAAGTCCAGCCCCCTGCCCGCACTAGTAGGACCAAGTACTGATTTTGCCCCAGATCCCTAAGTGGCCCCTTCAAGGATTGAACTCACAACTCTGGGTTTAGCAGGCCAATGCTCAAACCACTGAGCTATCCCTCTGTCTCAAGCCTGAAAAATGTACAGTCTAATTTTAGACATATATGAATGACAGCAATGGACAGTTGTGGGGAGATTATGCTTTTACTCTGGTTCATTATTTGCATGTAATAATGGAACTGATGTGTATTTTTTTTATTATTTCTTCCTTATCCACACTCTCACACTCACTCATGCCCATCACCCCAGTCGGGGTATGGGCCGCCAACCACAGATCTCCAGAGTCCTTTATCCTGGGCCATTTGCTCTAGCTGGTTCCAGGTATAGCCCATTTTTATGACTCGTACATGGTCCTCACGTTCCATGTACCGATGGTAATCCTCCTGGTTGCAAGAAGGGTAATCGGCTTAGTGGCTTCCTCATGACTTTCACCACCCAGCGTCATGCGTCTTCGAGTCAAAGACCCTTCTTTTTCCAGGCTAAAAGTCTCTGTTATCTCTATTGTTGGCGTTTCTATAGCAGGTTGATTTTTTACGGGGTGGAGTTGCTAGCCCCACGCCCAACCCTCCTCCTTTATCCTGACTTGGGACAGGCAGATGGCCCCAAAGGACCTCTCTGGTGGAGTTTTCCTTATCCAACTCCATCTAAATCATTTTGTGTGGCGAGGGCATTTGATAGATATAGGGTAATTTTATGATCTGTTAGGCTCCATAGGGTGATGCTAAAATGTGAAATAGTCTCCCAAAGTAAGTTGTGGATGCCCCAGCACTTGGACATTTAAATTAGACTGATCACAAGACTAGTTAATATGTAATAGGGAACAAACCTGAGTTTGAAAGGAATTGGACTAGAAAAGTTCTTGATCATGTCTAACATTTAGGATGCTTTTGATTCACGCGACTGTTAATCATCAGTAAATGCTCATTGGTACTTAGTTTGAAGACTTCTCTTTGGATGCTCTGGCTTATTTTATTATTTTCATTCCAATTAATCTCCTACCTTTTTGGTGAATAGGAATGTTGGCCAATAACTTTATGTCTTGGACAACTTTATTTTATAAAGGCAAGGTAATGCAAGTTTACATCACCTTCCTGGGCAGTTACCATTTTTTCTCCATTTCCACAACACATGACAAAATATCCCTTTAATATTTGCCTCAGATCTTGGAAAATGGTTTAATTGCCCTTGTTGTTCTTGGCTGAAGCCATCATTAGCTGAGGGTTGCTTTTTCCTGCTAAAGGAAGGAGTTTCCCAAATGGATCAAGGTAGAAGGTTTATCCAAGATCAAGTGTAAGTTTGAAATAGATTTATGTTGCCCAAAGCAAAACACGGTTTAGAAGGATTCGTGAAGCTAGAGCTGCTTAGGACTTTTAAAGGAACACTTTCAAGTTTCCCATTAAATCACTATAGGCAGACCAGAATTATTTAAAAAGGATCATTTATTAAACATTTTTTCTTTACAAAGTACAATCAGTTTTTGTTAGATTTGATTTTTGGTGTTCGCCTGTATTTACACACAAGTCTGTAACAGAAAATGTGTCTTGAATTTACACTTGGGACATAGTATCAGAGTTATCATCATAATTTTGATTTCTACCAACATAAGCAGCCAACTCAACTTATCCGCTGGTTTTAAAATCAGAAGATGAAGAAACAATACTTCTGCTGAGTGCTTCCCAATGTACTCAACTAGGATGTAGAAGTAACATGTACATTTTTAGGGGTGGGGATGGTGGAAATAAATTCCTAACACGAGTGGAACATGATGTTATTTCTGGCAGGTCACCGGACTATCCTTATGATCCTAAAAATCATTCTGGCAGTTATAAGATAAGAAGAATTGAGGAGCAAGGTAAGTTTAATAATACCCTATTAGCAGCAGTTGAGAGTAAATGCAACATAAGGTTTGTTTTGTCTGTGGTACAAGGACGTGCCCTATCAGACACTACAGTATTGTTCTTTACTTGAACACAATTGTCTATATGTATTGTCTGTTTTGGGGACAACAAAACAAAAATAAAGAGACAAGAAGCCGTTTATCATCATGAGTGATTATTGCCATCAGCTAATATTAATGCATTACTAAAATTAGTGAAGACAGGAAAATGCTGTAAGATAAATATTTACAGAGTTAAAATACATTTCTTATCCACTAGACAGTGATTTTGTGGCACTGTGGTTTTTTCAGAATATAACCTCTGTTGAAAGCAATGTAATTTTCAGTGCAAGCTAAAGCAAAAATACCTGCCCGCTGTCCATAAACATGATAAACAAATCTGGAATGTTCAAAGCAAATTCATCTTCCTCTTCCCACTCTTGAGGCACCTCTAAGACATGGCACTTACTGTAAACCATCTAAAAATCAAGAAAAGCAGACACAATAAGCTTGAATTTTTAATAACCATTTTTTTTTTAAAAAATCACTGCCAGAGTCCCTTGCATACGTAAACGATGCCCGTGGAAGGCACGCCATCATAGCCTTTCTTTCCTGAGAACGGAGCTGGGATCCTCTTTGTGTATCATAAGTGTGCGTGCTCAGAGCTGTGATCACTATCGTGGCTGTCATCGTTCGCTAGTGAGTCCCCCGTGTGCTGGAGGCCAGCTGCACCAATTCCAGAAAGCTCTGAGGGAAGCAGTGTGCCCTTTTTCACATTCACCAGTTCCTTTTCCCGGGCTGCTGCCCCTTGCTGGCCCCCTTTTACCCGCTTCCATTTCATTCGTCTGTTCTGGAACCAAACTTTTACCTTAAAAATAAGAACAAAGACACGGTCACTGAGGGCTAATGATGTTATCTGTAACACTAATAAATAATAGCATCATGTGTTATTTGTGTAGCACCCAACAGGATGCTAGTTTCTTTACAGAACAAATACAAAGGCAACTTGCCTTCGCCAATGACCTGACAGTCTAATTTTAGACTGGAAGTAATACGTGAGGGTAAGGAACAATAGGGGAAGGAATAGGACAGCGGTTCTCAAACTGTGGGTCACGACCCCATTTTAATAGGGTCGCCAGGGCTTGCTTAGACTTGCTGTGGCTCGAAATGAAGCCCGAGCCCCGCCGCCTAGCCGAAGCCTGAGGGATTCAGCCCTGGGTGGCGGGGCTCAGGTTACAGGCCCCCTGGCTGGGGCTGAAGCCCTTGAGCTTCAGCTTTGACCCTTTCCCCACCCAGGGCAGTGGGGCTCGGGCTTTGGCTCCAGCTTCCCCCCCACCCAGGGCAGTGAGAATCAGGAGGACTCAGGCTTCAGTCCCCCCTCTTGGAGTCATGTAGTAAGTTTTGTTATCAGAAGGGGGTTGCAGTGCAATGAAGTTTGAGAACCCCTGGAATAAGATGATGAAATACAAGAGTTACAGTAATAAGTTAATATGGTTATATGAAATACTTAGCACTACTAAAATGCCTTCCAGTGGAGGATCTCAAAGCTCCTTAGAAACATTTATAAATTAACACTCTTAGGAGATAAGTATTATACCCATTTTGCAGATAAGGAAACTGAGGCATTTGGTCAGGGCAATGACATGCGCAAATTAATAGAGAGCTCAGAAAATAATCTTTTTCTTCTACCTAATTTACAGTCTTGTGCCTTAACACTGAACCATGCTTCGCCTCCTATTTTTTTTAGTCTTTTTCTAAGTATTTTTTCTGAATATGCTAAGTACTTGGAAAATGTACAATGAAACAAGAAATTTTCATTCAAAAACAAGAATGGAAGAATAAGAATAAGAAACAACTGTACATTTTTTTTTACAGGTCAATTCCAATTTAAATGCCCCCGCTCAACCCTTTTCCTGATATTTGCAAGGCCATTTTAGAAATTTTTTTTATAGTAAATATTTATAATGACTTCCCTTTTTGGCTCAAATATGTATTACTATAATTCCTGTTGTTGGTCTCCTTTTTGGTACAAGACAATTCTTGTCTCCTGTAAATTTGGTGTGCTACTAAGCTCTGCAAACTGCAGCAAGCTACTTTTGCAATTGCCCAAATACTAAAAGAGACATGGGAACTCTTATACATATACCAGATTCTCAGTTGATTCTAAATCAGCATATGCCATTGACATTGAAAGTAAATTTATTTTGTGAAAATGGAAGAAGAGAAAAAAATAGTTATTTTAACGCCCTTAGAGTTACTGCTGTAATGGAGTGTATCTTTGTGTCTCTTTTAACATGAAAGTTCTACAGAAAATTCTACAGCATGAGGTAACTTCTCACTTGGAAAGGAAATGAGAGCTTGGAATGCTGATGTGTCCTCTGCAGTGATAAGTGGAATATATTTTAGAGCTTTAAAAGAAATGCCAAGGAGTTGTCACAGCAGGACTCATTGTACAACATCAGTAATAGAGCCACAAATGGATGTTTTGAGGAATTTATGTTGTATGTCCAGGAAATCTTACAGTCTTTAGCCTTTAACATTATTTTGAATGATACATTAGAATTTTACAGCAACAGAATTGATGTTTAAAGTCACATTTTTTTGTATTTACTGTACTCACAGTGTTGCTGTTAAAACTAATCAGAGCTCTTAAAGCCAATCATTTGTGAATAGAGCAAAATGATTCTAGGTTGGTTAACAGCCTCAAATCCATGCACATCCTTTCCTTTAGACTACTCATCAAAGCCAAAAGAATCTGGCTAGTAAAGTCAAATGAGCGTAAAGGGAAGGTATTTATGACTGGCTGCTATGATGTTGGGAATTATCATACTGAGGCCATATATCAGAGACTTTCATGAAAGCAGTGTCTTCATAAAAACACAATATTTGTACTGTACTTACAGCTCTTTATGGGAAGTTACAGATGTCATTTTTTTACAGTGAAGTTCCCTTTTAAAAGACACTACAGCACTGGTGCCAAACACTGTAATAAACCTGTAGTGTTTGGAGCTATGGAGCTGATCCAAAGCTCATTGAAGTCAATGGGAATCTTCCCATTGAGATATAAAAAAGATGCTCTCAGGGTATTTTTGCAGCTCAGAGAGATCAAGGAATATGCTATAGTGTCAAAAGTGTATCACAGTAATCACTTGTCACCTTGTTTTGCAGAAACCACTCTTTGCATAATATCTTATCTGCTTTGGGCAAAATCATTTACTATCCTGCACAATTCAGGGTGTATGTGTGTAAAAAATTGTTGCAAGTATACCATTGCCCTTTCGAAAACCCTAGTGCTATTTGGGAGGCCCAAAGTTCTAGGAGGAAAATAATCAGTGAAGCTGAGGGTTCGACTAGACCCCCAGCTACTCTTGCAAGCATGCTGAGATCAGGAGCAGTCATTAAGTGAGTGGAGGGGGAAAATGTGTGTGGGCAGATTGTTCCTTTTCAATTGTTCCCCATTGAATTTGTGGAGCATATCGCCACTAACTTTCCACCACTCATGATGTTCCTCTGCATGTAGCAGTTTTAGTAGTATGCATGGAACCAGGATTTGGTCCTTAGGACTGATGAAGACATTGTAAACACAGCTAGTGATAAAGAGCAGGTAAAGGAATACTTAGAATGACTTGATCCATACCAGATCATATGCACTTACAAAATTAACCAACTTCTGGAGCCACCGATAATTCTTTTTAAATAAAGAGTGATTGAAAACTTGGAAAGAATCAGAAGACTGAAGAAAAGCAAGTGAAGAACTAAACCTATCTTCAGAAAAGAAATGAGAGTGATCTTGGCAGTTGCCACTCCACAAGTCTAACTTCCATTGCTAACATCCCAGGACATATATTAAGAGGAAAGAACACTTAGCATAGTCAACTTAGAAGAAAATATTCAAGAGAGATTTTGTATAATAAAATCAGTCTGTGAAAATTAATTCAAATAGATTTGGATATTAATACAGTCATGTGAACTTAAAATGAGCAGAAGCAGTATAAAATAAACTAAGGTACTAATAAACAGCAATATATCAAGCTGGGAGCAGGTGTCTAATAGGGTATCACAAACTGTTAGATCCTGTCTTCTTTAATATTCTCAATAATGTTCTTGCAGAGCAAGAGAACGCCACATTAACAAGAATCAAAGATGAGTGTGAGGTGTTGGGAAAACTACTACTAACAGAAAAATTCAAACAGATTTAGAGGTTGGAGAGAAGTGCAGGATATAAATAAATGAAACTGAATTTGGAAAAACTCAAGCTAAAACTTCTGGGGAAAAACACTTCACAACATAGAAACATGGGAAGAAGTAATGCTGAAAGAGACCTAGGAGTGATAGTAGACAGCAAATTAGAGATGAGGTTGTCATAAGATGTAGCAGTTAAGAAAAAAAAGCATAGATAGGCAACCATGTCACTAAGTAGAGAAATTATAGCTCTGTTCTGTCAAACTTTGGGATAATGCATTCATATTGGGACACTTTGTTTTCAGAAAAACAGAGAAATTTGAAGCTGTTTACAAACGTTCACCAATCAGCGATAAGGAAGGTGGCGAGACTGATTTATGAAAACAGATTAAAAAAGAGCCAAATAGCTACTGGTTGGCTAAACAATGACTTGGAGTAGGCAGAGAGGGGAGCACATACATATAAAATTCTACAAACGTTTGAAGCCTATTCACACCAAGATATGAGAAGAATTATTTAGGAGAGTATGAGAAAGTATAACTAGGAATAAGATGATGAAATTAAGAAAGGCTGAATAGCTGTGACATCTAAGCTAAGTGGTGGAAAGCCCTGTCTTGTGGGAAACAAAAACTTGATTGGACAAACCTTTAGTAAATGTACTGTAGGGAACAGTCAGGAAACAGACTGGGTAACCCTAATGGTTCTTTATTTTCTCTAATTTCTATGACTATGTTAGAATTTTATTCTGAAAGTGAAGGGCAAACAATGGAAAGACAAATACCTTCAAACATATTAGGACCAAATTCTGAGCTTGTGTTTAAGTTGAGGTGTAAATTGGTAAGTGGCTGTAAGACTAAGGAAATAAATATTTCTGAGGGAGTCTACATGGCGGTAACATACACATACAGAGGACTGGAAGAAAGTGCAAATTAAACCAATTGAGGCTGCCCTCTTCATCTGCATTAGGGCAAAATTCAGAGTTGATGTATAAAGTCGTGTAAATTACCCCTACGCCGTCTATTCAGTTAATTTCCCTTATACCTACTTTATATCTGTTCCAGCAGTGAAAAGAGGCTAAGAAGCTGCAATTTAACACCAAGCAGCTGGAAGAAAGTGGAAGTTAAAGTACAATTGAGCAATATAATTACACCTCTTCTTCAATCTTCTCAACTGAGTGAGATCTGGCCCAATTCTGATCTGGACTGTTGACTTCCATGGGAGAGCACTAGGCCCAATAACTAGTGAACACTAGCAAGTGGGACAGCAAAAAGTCTATTCACCACTTATATCCTATGTAAGCCCTCAAAATGCAGTTTAAGTGGTGCTGGCCCTCTTTACAGGGGTGAATTTAATCCCCAATGCTCCTGTGAGGTGAGTATGTATCACTTGCTCGATTTTACAGGCAGAGTTTAACATCTGGTGCCAAATCTCTACTATTTAAGGCAGTCAGCTTAAAAAAAACAGATTTGTAACTATTTAAAACTGCAGTTACTGTGTTAATGTTTCATTAATGATGATAATAAATAATCTGCGTCTCTGAGGCAAATTTACCTTGTTAAATGATTAACCCAGATAACTTCAAATGTAGAAATATTTTTCTTATTTGGTAAAAAATAGTAAAATATATATGCTAAAAACAAAGTGTATTGAGATACAGAACTAAAAAAAATTGCAATTCATTTTTAT